CCTTTATATAAGAAACAGGTTAAGTGAGAGAGTAACAGATAAATTCATCTTACGTTTACATTAAGGAAACACTGGACAGCTACTGAAGAACATAATAGAAATTATTAGTATGAGGTGTGGGGGCAGAATAAAGTATATTGGAATATTGATAAGAACGAGTTTTCTCACAGTGTATGTAGTATTGACCTATATACTTTTTAAGTTTATAAATGAAATAAAATCTAAAAGATCCATGAATATTTCCAATGTTTATTGCCATTCATAAGGAAAGCACTGGGGGCATAGTGCACAAATTCTCCTGTGAAATCTTTTGTCTTGAAGTAGTCAAGTTTCATTGACGGGATTTAAGAAAACATAGGCACAACACTCCAACATATTAGCACAGGCACCAACTTTCTTACAAGTAGCAATCAGGGAAATGTAAATCAAAACTGCATTACAATTTCACCAAACTCCAATCAGGATGTCAACCTTTAGAAATACATATAACAATAAATTCTGGTGAGGATATGGAGAAAAGGGTACACTCACACATTGTTGATAGCATTGTAAATTAGTACAACCATTCTGGAAAGCAGAATGGAGATTCCACAATAAATTAGGAATGACCTAGTTATCCCACCCCTTGGTATTTATTCAAAATATTTAAAATCAGCATACTACAATGATGCAGCCACATCAGTGTTTATAGCTGCACAGTTAACAATAGCCAAGCTATGGAACCAACCTAGGTGTCATTCAACACATGAATGGATAAAGAAAATGTGGTTTATATGTGCAATTGAGCTTTACTCTGCCATAAAGGAGAATGAAATTATGGCATATGCTAGTAAATTAATGGAAATCAATAATAGTGTGCTAAGTGAAATATACCAGGCTCAGAAAATCAAAGGTCAAATTTTTTTTCTCATATTCAGAAGCTAGACTAAAATAAGGGAAAACAGGGGAATCCTATAAAAATGGAAAGAATATAAGTGGAGTAGAAGGGGATTCAAAGGCAGGGAGGAAGAATGGGAAAAGAAAGGAAATGAAGAATGAAATTTAACAAAGTATGCTGTGTATATATACGTATAGTACTGCAGGAAAAAATGAATGAAGAAACTTTCTACATATTGATCTGGAAAAATACCCAGGTATATTAATAAAAGCAAAGAACTATAAGCAAATAATGTTGCCTTTATATAAGAAAGAGGTTGTGTAAGAGAGTAACAAATAAATTCACACCTACATTTACATTAAGGAAACACTAGAGAGCTACTAGTTGTCTATCCCTGGGCAATTGAGTGAAACTTTCTAGCATTATTTTTCTTCCCTGCAATAAAAAGAAAATAATAATATTACTCCAGACTATATTGTGATGATAAATTAAATAAGGCATGTAAAGTGCTTAGCAAAATGACAGAAATATAATAACATCTCCAAACTATTGCCCATTATAATTTTTGAGCAGGATTTAAAGATCTAGAATGCCAGGAAAGTCTACCATGTTAAGTTTTTGTTGTATAAATTTATTCCCTTGATGATCTCATCTAGTTCATGTCTTTCAAAACCATCTGTATGTCAATAGCTCACAAATTTAAATGTTCATATCAGAACTCTCACCCAAACTCAAATTCCAAATACCTACTCAACCTATCTAACACATTGTAGACACTTTATGGGAATCTTGAAATTAATATCTCAAAAACTAACTCCTAACCTTACCCTCTTAACCTGATCCATTTATAATCTTCCACATCCATTATGATTTAGATGTGAGGTGTCCCCCAGAATCTCATGTGTGAGACAAGAAGGTTTTGAAGAGTATTGTTCGGGTTATGATGGTCTTAATCCAATCAGTGAGTTGATCCCTTAATGGGATTAACTGTGTGATAACTGCAGGCAGGTAGAGTATGGCAAGATGAGGTGGGTATCTGGGGGCGTGCATTTGAGGTATATATTTTGTACCTGGCAAGTGAAGTGACTCTCTCTCTCTCTCTCTCTCTCTCTCTCTCTCTCTCTCTCTCTCTCTCTCTCCTTCTTGATCATCATGTCAGCTGCTTCCCTTCACTATACTCTTCCTCTATAAAGTTCTGCCTCACCTCGAGCCCCAAGGAATGGGGCTGGCTGTCTATGGACTGAGACCTCTAAAACTATAAGCCCTCAAATAAACTTTTTCTGTTCTACTGTTGTTCTGGTGAGATCTTTTAGTCATAGCTGCAAAAAAAAAAAAAAAAGCTGACTCAAAGAAATTAATGGTAATTCCATTTTTTTCTGGTTACTCAAGTAAAAAGTTTGAAGGCAACCCTGACCCCTTCTTTACTTCTACCCACGTTGAATCCATTCATGAATGTTATCAGCTCTACTACAAAATATTTCCATATACTCCTTGTTTTGTTATCACTCTGGTCAAAACCACTAATATCTCCCCCACTAGAGTTATGGCTACATCTAATAAGTATTATTTATCTGGTTTTTCTGCTTCTATCTTTCCCCCTAAAGTAGTGGATTCTCAGCACAGCAATTAAATTATCTTTAAGAAATCATACAAGGTTACTCCTCTGCTCAAAACCTTAATGACTTCCATTGCATCTCATCAGAAATACAACCCAAAAACCTTTTATAATCATGGCCCTAATTATTTCCCTACCCTCATTTGCAATGTTTCTTCGGATTTTGCTCAAATGCCATCTCAGTGAGTTATTTCCTGACCAAATCAAATCACTGCAGCACCCCTACAAACATCTTCTATTCTCTCTTCCTGTTTTTTTTTCTACAGCAGTTAATGCACTACATATTTTATTTATTTATATTTATTTTCTGACATCCCTTCTTGAATATAATCTCCACAGAATTGAATGTTTGGGGTCTATATATTTTTTCATCTCCTACCCTCACATTATTGCTCTATTGCTTTTTTCTACATTGCCTGAAATAGTATCAGATTCAAGTAGATAACTTGATAAAGAGTAATTTATGTTTCAATTGCTTTAGCTAAATTTTCGAAATGCACTCAGTCTTACACTGAATTTGCAATAAGTTTCTTTGGTGCAGGTCTAGAGACTTGGAGATTAATAACTCTGGATCAGAAACAAAAGTTCTCTCCCAGTCAACATCCAGTAACTCTCCAAGAACCAGAGTCCCTCCAGGCTTGTCTGGTACCTCACATCTAAAGGGCACATCCTGAGAAGTTGGTGAAATACACCAGAAGACTACATCTCCTCGACCTTGCAATCTCATTAAGATACCTCCTTAAGATACTAACCAAATCCTACTAGTAGCAAAACACTGGGCCACTCTCCTCAATTCTCCTCCCCTTCACTCCTGTATACTCAATATAAGCCAGTTTGGAATGAGACATAATAGACAGGGCAGTTAGTAGAGGTGTTCTCTTGGGTTTAATAGTAGGAATAGTCTGAGTTCTACTTTGTCTTGAATAATAAGGAAAATTGACCCTGTCTATGGAGTAAACCAACAGACAACCAACACTTGCCAGACTCTCTGCACTGCTTCTTGTAACATATAGTCTTATTACCAGTGTGATGGGGGCAGGACCTTGAAAACAGGGAAGACCTACAGTGTCCTGCACCCTGCTAAAAGAGACCAGGAGATTACCAGCTGAGAAAGTCATCCCAGTGGAGTGGGACACTGTTTTATTCAGTGGGTTTTTTTCCCCCCGTTGCTGTGACTAAAAGCTCTGGCCAGAACAATTGTACCAAAGGAAAATTGTATTTGAAGGCTCACAGTTTTGGAGGTCTCATTCCATGGAGAGCGAGCTCCATTCCTCAGGGCTCAAGAGGAGCAGAACATTGTGGCAGAAGTATGGTGGAGAAAAGCAGCTTACATGATAAGGTACTCGAGAAAGACTAAGCTCAGCTCACCAAATATATATCCCAAAGGCATGTCTCCAGAGGTGCACCTCTTCCATTGACACACTACCCACCTTCAGTTACCAGTTAATCCCCATCAGGGGATTAATTCACTGATTGGGTTAAATCTCATTACCCAATCATTTCTTCTCTAATTCTTTTTGCATTGTCTCACACATGAGCTTTTAGGGGACATCTCATACCCCAATTATAATAGACACAAAGAGGTTGACAATGAAGATACCATAGAAACCAGGAAAGCCAAAGGATTCACACATTAACCTAAGAGATTCCTCTATCCCTTCCCCAGAAAGTCTCCCAAAGCTTCTTTGCCATATTTCTAGAGGCCAATCTAGAGGAGGGAATGGAGTAATATTCAAAATCCAGGGCTGTTAGAGATTACCAGTTCAACTACATTTAACAAATTGGACTCAATGTAGGAGGCCCTGTTACCTAGCAGCACGTGGGCTCATAATGAAGATTAAAGAATAAATAAATACAGATTATTTGCACATCCAAGTGTGATATGAGTAACGTTCAGCCCTGCTACATTTGCTGTTTGCAATCTAATATCAACTTCTTGGATTTCCCCGGGGAATCCTGATGGGTCTTCTGTCTGAATCTACTTTGCCAGGATAGTGCCTTCATTCCCGAAGCAGGGTGCACTCCCTTGGACCTGGTATTTTTATCATTCATTTTTCTTCCAATAAAACAATAAATGAGGGTAGCCAAGGTCTAGAAAGGAGAATCAACTTAGAGGTAGAAGAGATGGTGCCAGGCCTCAGAGCCCACTAACTGTTTTGTGACTTTAGGTAACTCCATAAACTTTGTTTCCTTATCTGTAAAACAAAAATCATAAGCAACCTCTAAATACTGACATTTTTATTAAATAGCATAATAAATATAAAAAATCTTTGAACATTGAAAAGTGATTTGTAAACATAAAACATTGTTATTATGACCTTAATAAATTATTATTATTATTATTATTATTATTTTGCAGTGCTGAAATGGGATCCAACACCACACACATGCTAGGCAAGTGCTCTATCTATATTCCCAATCCAGGCATTGTTTATAAAATATACTGGCAATTAATCACCCACTAACTACCATTGGAAGGTTCAAATTTGTGCAAGACACCATTCCTACCTTGAATTTTTTTTTTTTATAACTGGATGCAATAAAGCCTCTGGTTCACCTTGCCTGCTCTCCTGATCCTGCTCTGGTTTATGAAAAATGTGTTTATTTCATGCTGGCAAAGAATTGCCTGGAATGAGAAAATTGCAAGGTTTGGCTTCAGTATCTTATCCTTAAATGAGTTACTTTATCATCTACAGTCCCCTGATCTATGAAAGCAGGACCTACACAGAGCGCTATTTCTTCCTACACTAGGTAGACAAGAACTGTAACACAGACAGTGATCAACATTGTTGGACAGGGCCAGAGACTGAAAGGACTGCTCAGGGGGCACCCTCCTATCCGAACTCACAGCTTAGAGATCTCAGTTAGGCTCCAAAGTGCAGAAAGGAACCTTTAAAGAATCCTTTGAATACTGTTCATAACATATACATAAGTTTCCTGGCTTGTTTACCTCATCAATTCAATCTATATATGTCCAGTGGGAATTTGATGCAATCAACCAAATAATGAACACCTAAACATTTGCTATGGAGGGACTTGGAATTAGCCAGATAAGCTGATGATATTAGGCAAATGGTTGAGAAAGTAGTTTCTCTCTCCACCTCATTTTGCTAGAATTATACACACATATGAATAAATATACACATAATTTTATAGTTAAAATGCAATTATATTATTAAAATATACCATGGTAATACACATTGTCAATTAAGCATGAAAACCATCTACACAGGCCCCACTGTGCTTGGATGTGGGAACAGAGAGTTCAATGCAGAAGTCTTCTGCACTGGAGACAGCTCAAATTACACTACTGGGCACATGCTACATAAAAGGGTCTGACTCCCTTCCGTCTTTCTAAATACTTATCTATGCAAGAGAAGAGTTTAAAAACACAGAATTAAAAATTTATTTGCATAAAAAAATGAGATTGTGTGTGTGTGTGTGTGTGTGTGTGTGTGTGTGTGTATTTTACTCCTGCTTTCATCCCCAAGGTGAAATCAAGTTCAAAGACATTACTTTTCTTAAGAAAGGAAAAAGAAAACAGAGATGAAGTGGTCTCTCTGGAGATTTTGCAGAGGGAGGAGATAATTAGGCTTCTTCTCTCTGATAAGATATGCAAACGATTAGGAGCAATTATCAGATGCCAAGGCACCAGCAGCTGCAGGCTTCTTTCCTGCTGAGCCCACACCTTGGGGAGACCAATGTTTCTGACTGTTCTGGGGCAAAGGCAGAATGAGATTGTCATAAGACTGGGAGAAGGCCAGAGGTCAAACTCAACATGAAGAGTGGAGTCAGATCAAGGGGGAGGCCTATCTTTTAGAAAGTCAGCCATTTCTTTAATTCTTAGCCCTAATGCTATCCATCTAAATCTTACTATGAAGATTAAGATTAAACAAAGAAATAGATGTATCCTTACAAATTAGCAATCTGAGTAACTAAAGTGATGAAATATGTCCAGTACAGCCTGACCTCTGATGTGTCATCCATGATAGCAACAGCTAATACTGACTGAGCCTCTTCCATGTACCTTGCACTGTGTACAAAGACCCATTCGTTCATCCAAGAAGCATGTCTTAGACATAGGATGTGCTTCCAGCTTCCAGGGACCCTATCACAGAAGCAGGCAATGCCCTTTCTCATGGTGTTTATAATAAGAACGCATAAAATGTCACAGTCAGTTTAAAAATAAAGAGAATTTCCACTAATGATAAAAGTTATATATAAAAAAAAAACTAGGCCAGAGACTAATGGGTGGAGCTGGAATGTTATTATATAGAGTGGCCACAGCAGGCTTTTCTGAGCAGGAGACTGAATTGGAACTGAGTGTGAGATGATCAAATGCCAGAGCTCCCCCAAAACACCCAGGACAGCATGTCACACAGAAGGCACAGAATGTAATGGCCTGAATCAAGAATGAGCTTAACATGTGTGAATGATAAAAAGCCTTGAGGAAATGTCACATCCCCCATTGTGTAGATGGGACAGTTGAAGCACATGAATTCCAAAATCCTTTCTCAAAGTTACTTCATAAATACATGTCACTGCTGGAAATTCTCTTGAACTTTGACTTCTTGGATAGACTCATTGTGTATATTATCCATATAAAAATGCATTCATTGGGAAGTTTTCTAACTACCTTGTCTAAATCATTCCATCCTTCATTCCCACTCACTAATGTTAAAATGAGATAGCTTTGTATTCTTGGGCATTAGTTAAGTGTTTATGCAAATACAAGTAAATACAATTTTGTATTCTTACCCTCCTTCCTTCTCTATATGCAATAAACTATACTGCATTTTCCTTATTTCACTCTTTCTATGACAGTACCATAGAGCATCTCCTTTTGCCCTATAATACTCTCTTGGAGAGATGAACAGAAGTTTATGTATTTATTTCTTTATTGATGGAAATATAGGTTATTCCTAGGTCTTTGCTTATACAAACAATGAATAACCTTGTATATACTCTATCATGCATATGTGAGATCACTGGGTCAGAGAAATTGATGAAAGTTGCTTTGCTGTCTTTCATTAAGGTAGCAAATTTTACTCTCACTAGTACTTCATGGAGCATTTTCCCAAAAGCTCATCAGAAAAGGACTTTGTAAACTTTGGATTTTTGCCCTTCTGAGAGATAAGAAATGGCATCTCTAAGTGGATCTTAATTTTTGACAACTCTCTTTATGTTAAGAAAATGATTCTTTTGTCTAGAATACAAGTTGCAATGTTTTTTTCTTCACTTTGACATTTGTCTTTTGATTTTACTTATGATGTGGCCGTCATTTTCTTGTTTCTTGTTTCATTGTTTTGTGTTGACATGTGGATGAATTTATTTTGTTGTTGTTGATATTCTTTAAGGTGATCAAATTTATCAACCCTTCTTTTATTGCATGTAGATGTTTGTGTCAGCCACAAAGTCTTTTCAAGATAATAAAAAAAATTCACCCTTGCATTCTTCAAGCCATGTTTTGGGGTTTTGAGATATATATATATATGATTCTACTATCTTTAGTTTATATTTGTGTATGGCAATAAGATGTACATATAATTTGCAGGAACTTGGATTTGAATCCAGATCTACTTATGCTCTCTGATTATACCCTAATGTCAGATTGTAGTCTCAAGAGAAAATCTACCCAAATTCTAAAATATACATATCTAACCTGTTTGAAAGCAGTCTGGTGACACAAAGTGTCACGGGGTTCCTGCTATTACAAGAACTTCACTCTTCTAACTCCTATTCCAAGGCTCTTTCCGGTATGTTTTATCATGTCTAATCCTAATTTTCAATAAATTGTCTTTCACATATTAGATCTTATTTTTCAAATCAAGATGGCTGGAAGATAATTTCCGTCCATTTCTGTTTTTTCCCAATCTTGCAAAACAAAGAGATAAGATCTATAAAACTTGCTCAGGGCAGTACGTTCTCCATGGTCTCAGTGTAGGCTGATAAAGAAAAGGTGACTCTTCTGTGGCTACAACTAGAGCTTCCATGAGAATTATTACTTCTTGGGGTTTCACCATAAGAATAAATAGATGCTTCCATAGTTGGAATGAAAAGACCAGGAGGTGTCAACAACCTCTCCTCTCCATTCCCACCACCCCCATCCTTTCTAGCCCTCATTACCTCTCACCTTGAACCATTGCACAAACCTCCTGATTGTTCTCTCTGTCCTCCACTATCTTACCCCATTTGTCAGCTTTCAAGTAAACTCTTCTAGAAACATCCTCCTTAAAAGAGTCTGATGCTCTCCTACCAAATAAAATTATAAAAACAGGGAAAAGAAAAAAAATCTCTAAGAATATTAAGATCCAATTACCTGAACATGACATTTAGAGCCTCTTGCCCTGCCATGTCACTGTTATGATTCTCATTTTTATTTCCAAGTTCATGTTTTCATTCATGCTATTGTTATAGTTAAAGCTTCGTCCCCGGGTTTCATAAACTGACTTCCAGACCACTCACGTATAATTGAATCAAGCCTTCATTGAAGCACACCGGTGGCAGCTGACCAGAACATAAAGCTGTTCCCCTGGTCAGCCCCCAACAATTGCAAGGGCACTCCTTATAAGCCTGAAAACCGCAAATGGGATGTTCTGGGGGTCTAGCCAATGCAAGCAAGCCAGGTTACAGAAGCGGGAGAGTGCAGTCAAGCAGTAGGAAGCCTAACTAATCACAGTTAGCCCAATCACCCCAGTTACAGAAACAGAGCCCCGTTACCCTAGTTACAGAAACAATGCCCTATTAGGTAGTTCAGAGTTCTTAAAAGTTTCTATAGCAAAAGGAAAAGAACATCTTGCCCCAGTCATGACCCTTCTACTTGGCATGGTTGTTTTACAGGATGAAGTCATAAAACAAAATGGAGTCACACTTGCTTCTACTATCACACTATCATCCAGAAAACTTGAGCATTCACCATTCCTACAAGATGCTCTGTATTTTTACAAATGAAGGTCTCTGCTCATCTTTTACCTCTGTCCACTGGTTCTTCCCCAACTTCTCTTGTTGGAAAGCTCCCTCTTTCATGGTCTAATTCAATATCATCTCCTTTTAAAGTCTTTCTTGATCATATCAAGCAAGTGAGAATCCTTCCAATGTTGACTCTGTACGTACTTTATGACAATTTTAAGATGCTGTCCTGTGGCATCATTTATGGAAATCATGTTGTTTCCATTGTTGATGGTAAGCTCTCTGAGGGCAGAACTAATCTACTCTACATAGCCTAAAGGACCTGATGACACTCCTGGACACAATGAGTGTTCAGTACATCTTTGATGTACAGCTGAGATATCCTTAGTATTCAATTCCTGTTTAGAACTAGCCCATAAAGAATAGACCAGGAATTGAAGAGAGATTCCCTTTATGCAATATTCAAAGGCTCTGCCCCAAAAGAGGGGAGAAGACAGAGGCTCATTAGGATGCAGTGTGATAATAAACATTCGATAAAACTAGTCATACCTGAATGACGCTGTGCCAAAATAGAAAGAGCTTCAGCTAGGGAGCCAGCAGCAAATATGTCAGAATCCCAGTCACTTTCCAGTGTGCGACTGAGCAGGTTGCTGTCTGTTCTGAATCTCACCTGTAAAATAAGGCCATCTGTCACCTGTGAAGACCACTGGAAAAATTGTCACTAACATTTTGGAACATTGTAGTTATGCAGTAAAAAGTAAAACAACCATAAAAATCATAAAATCGACAGGAGAACCACCTGTGCATTACTGTGCATTACCCTTGCAGAGACACAAAACTACCTCTTACAGCAAACACCTCTTAGAAAAGGGGGATTGAGTCATTATCTTGTCAACTGAAGGATTCATTAGGGCCTTTCTGCCTGGGTGAGAATTTGTTTTGCAGGCTCTGCAATTATCATCAGATCTAAAGATGATGATGCAAATGACATGAGAGTGTAAACAGCACCTAAAAAAAAAAAAAAGCATGCACCTGGAATGAATGATCTTAGGACACTTCTAATTAGGAAAGGAGAGAATAATCAGCAACGACCCTGAAAGGAGACAGAAGCCCTGGCATTGCTAAGAGGAGACAGAATCTTAGGGTTTAACTTAACTGTGATGTGTTCCCATCCACCTTCATTCCTGAGAACAAGACAGAACAGGATGTGAACGTACTGGGTCTTGTTTATCCATTGATCCATTCATTCACTCTGTAATCGAGTGCTGAGCACTAGTTTTTTCTGAGACATGCAGAAATAAAGGGGACATGGCCCTACCCTCACTCCATTCATGTTCCAATAGAGGAAAGATGCAATAGCACCAAAAATGCCAACAAAGTCTGCCCTGGTACTGTCACACCGTGCGGCAGGAATAGATGGGAACACAAAGGACTCCCGTTCTATCAAGAATGAGCTTGATTTATCTCACTTGTATGAGAAATCTAGCAAAGCTAGATTTGAGAGAAGAGTAGCTTTTACCAGAGACTGGGGGAATAGGAAGCCGGAAGGATGGGAAAAGGTTGATCAATGGTACTACGCTACAGATAAGAGTAAGTTCTGGTGGGTGATTGCACAGTAGGATAGCTATGGATGATAATAATGATGTAGGTTTTTTTATTTTAGAAAGCTAGAAAAGAGGATTTTTGAATATTTTCACCATCAAGGAACGATAAATACTTGGGGATATAAATATGTTTAGCCTGATTTAAATATTATACAATGTATGCATGTGCCTCATTAATATGGACAATTTTTACTTTCATGTATCAGTTAATTTAATTTAAATTTTAAAATAGATAAAAATGAGCAAGGGGTTCCCTGGGAAGGCAGATGGTGTGGGGCACACCAGGCCAAAGAGGCCATACAAGTGAGGAAACCACAGGCTCTTGCTGACTGCATGCATAGTCTAATTCCTAGAAAATGTGGGGGCGCAGAAAATGCCAGTGGTTGACAGATGGCAGACTACTGGTGGGCAGAGACTGACCACATGGTCGGTCTCCCTTTCTTGTGTTCCTTCCAGGAATTCCAGTAGGATGCTTAGCACTTGATATATTTTCAGGAGATAAGTGCTTATTATTCAACCCCTGTTATTTGTAGACAATCTCCACATCTGGCAAGGCAACTTCAGAAACATACTTTGTCTATGGATAGGAAAAAACTGAAGATGATCCAACAGCAGTCATATTTCCCACAAGGAAATCCCACAAGGCTGGATATTATCTGACAGGTTGTTTCTTAACTTGGCACCTTTAACTACTCTATGAATATTTCCTTTCCATTCAAATTGTAAAAAAAATAATATGTATGATATATAATCATCTTATTAAGTCCTTCCATGCAATTTTGACACTTGAGTTTTGTGTCTGCATTTTGATAGAAAAAAATTGATACAAATAAGCAACTAGGGAAAGCTTTTGACTTCGAATGCAGTATTCTTGGGGAACCCCAAATTCTTCAAATTTGAGTGCAAGTTTATCTGATGAGGACATTAAGGAGATTCAGAAAGGAGAAGTAACTTTGTTTTGCACCCAGGTATTCAGTAATGGGAACTAGAACCCCAGATGTTGGATCAGTGTATAAGTTACCACAGTTCAGCCACCACCTCTCTGAATAGGCAGTACCATGGCTTTCCAGATCCTTCAGTACAGATCCAAGTTTGGAACTCACTTTATACCTTACAATGGTGCAATTTGACTTCATGTACAGAGTTTCAGTTTCTGGTTTATCTTGGATTCATTCTCTGCCCCACCCCTCTGAGAAACAGGCAGAACAGGTAAGAATAAATGATTCCAACCCAGGGTAATAAAAAGTGTGTTTATTTTCTCTGATCTTCTTATATAATCATTTTTTTATTTCTTACATATGAAAGGAATTTTTATTTATATGGTGAGGAGATGTGCCCCGTCCTGTTGGACTAGGGCAGTAGGATAGGTTGCCAAGAGATAGAAAAAAGTACCAGAGATGATGTGCAAGACAGGAGGTTTATTCAAACATGCTGTGGGGAAGGTCCAGTGGCAACGAGCTGAACAAGTAGCATCTGCATCCCTCATGGTGCTTTTTTGTGAAGCCTAGTGGATGGCTGGTTGGATGAGCACTTACCCTCTCCACAGTGCTCTGTGCCAGTTATTCTGTGAGGGTACACAAGCAATGACAGCATTGGCTTACTGCATTCTACCATATGACTTGCATTCCAAGAAACAGCTGCTCTGGTGTACGTGCAAGAAAGCAGCTTCTACAGATAACACTGGTGTGCCCTAGTTCCCAGTGCACATTCGATGGAGTCAGTGTCCTGTAGCTAATCCTTCTCATGATATTCTGGTCTGGACTCTCTTTCATGGTCCCCTGGACTTGGCTAGAGTCTTGGGAATGGAAAGGTGGGTCTCAGGAACGTAGTGTTTGATGTCCCTTCCTATTTATTTTTCAAGGATCATATAAGATGGTAGTATAAAACTTCTGACCTTAAAGAATATATTGCATTTTATTTTGTTATCATTAATTGAATGGAGGTAGTAATTGCTTTCTTGCTGGGAAATTTTAAAAGCAGAGCAAGCAAGCATTTTGTCTTATACTTTAACATATATTTGATAGTAAGGATTCACTGGATGAATAACAAATTGTTAACTTAATATCCACTTAATGCAATAAATAATTTAGAATCAGGTGATGAGTGAGCTACAGGGTGTGGGTATTTGTGGAACTATGAGAACCTGGCTGCTCAGCAGAATCAATTGAGGAACTTTTCAAAAAATGCAGACTCTGGAACCCCACCCTAAACTAATTGAATCAGAATTTCCACAGCCTAAAACCCAGAACTTGACATTCACAGAAGCTTTCCAGGTAACTCTTATGATAGCATAGTCCACACAAGTGAGCCCTTGACACAGATTTCAGAGCAAAAGTATCTATATTAAAATAATAAAATCAACTGTGGCAGTCAGTTATAATCTCACATGAGATATAAAGCTTTCCAAGGTCAAGGTAATAGAACCATCTATCCCTTTCCTTCATCCAGCTCTTTCCTCTGCTGGAGACACTTCTTATTCATTCTCGAGCAAAAATATTATTAAATGCTTACCATGCTACAGCTGGAGATCCGACAGTGAATACAACATAAATGATCTCTTTCTCATGGAGTCTGTAGATTTCAGCAATTAGAGTACTAAGCAGCTCTACCCAAGAAGTTTACCAGAATTTGTAAATTTTACTTTTTTCCTCCAGTATCTGTTCACTTTATTCACTTGCTATAAGCAGGACTTTGTGGTTTCCTGGTCCAAATAGTGGGATATAACTACTGCCAACAGTTCTTGAGATGACATCTCCCTTCAAGATAGTAGTAACCACTTTCAACAGAAACTGACAGGTTCAACTTGGGTTGGGTGGTTCTCCTGGACCAGAGTCTGTGGCTCAGAGGAAAGAGGTTATGGGATCTGCTCCAGTGGAACCATATTCTTGGAGATTGTTTGAGATAATTCCACTAGAAATAAATGATACAGAGAGAGTTTTGTACATTCGAACAGCATTTCTCTAGGACAGAGGTGCACTTTTGAGCATGAATATTATGCCATGCCATTCCGTTGGACTGCTCAGAGTTTTGTTCTGCTGAGTTTTGATTCTTATAAGACAATTGAGTTGTTTCATTTATTCTTTCATAGTTCACTCACAAAAAGAATTTCTTTAGGCATTGGCCTCATCTAGAACTCAGAGAGAAGAAGAAGGAGAAGGAGAAGAAAAGAAGGAGGAGGAGGAGGAGGAGGAGAATTAGAAAGAGGAGAAGAAGAAAGAAGAAAGAAGAATAGCGTTGTTCCTCTTAGATCTCACTTTGGTGAAAGAGGCAATCATACACTGAATGTCATTTAATGTGACAGACCCATGTACCAAGTGTAAAGGAAATGCACAGGAAATAGGGGAACTCACAGATTTCCCTACCTGTGTCCTCAGGGCTTCAAAGCACCTTTTTGGTTGGGTAGAATAAGGAGGCTTTAAGAAAAGGTGAATCATAAAAAATAAAGTTAAGGGATGTATGGTAGAAGGAAGTTTCATGGTTCATGGTTGGAAGGCAAAATAATGACAGAGTATGGAAGATTGGAGGTGGGGGGGTAGATCACTCCAGTAGTCACTCCCAGCCCTACCTTTTATGAGCTATGCATACTTTGGCAAGTTACTGAAACTTTCTGTACTTGGCTCATAGGATTGTTGTGAGGATTAGCTTTTATAATTCATGTGAAGGGTTTAGGATAGTGTTGGTATATCATGGATGCTTGATACATGTTTTACTATTGCTATTGTGGTCAACAGCATTGTCATCATTATTTCAAACAAACCTGCTACTCCTGAGTGTGTTCATAAAATTTTGCTTGTGAGAGGAGAGCACATGCTGTTTATCATTATACTACAGAGATCATCGTTTGGATTTGACCCAGAGTACATGGTAGTAGGTTCAGAAATCACATGCTCTAGATTGCTTGCAAAGTGATGGTGGATCTCATAGGATTAGCAGCAGAAATTCTGGTGTAACCTTCTGTCCCAGGAAACCTTACCCCACAGAGCTGCAGGCCCAGGTGAGACACATGCCACTTTTGCATAATTCATCTTCAGGTGCCAGTTTCCCTTTGGCAAAAGACGCATTAGATGCCCAGGCCATTCACCTGGCCCCCACCATAGAGACTACAAACCAGAATCCAGCCATTTACTTCCAGAAGAATGTTCCAAAGCATAAGCCAACACCACCCACACCACAGAAACAGCTCAATTTAGAACTATTTCCTAAATATTTTGAGAACTTTGTCTCAATGGATGAGATTTTGGTAGGAGTCACAGGATCCTTCCTATTCCTTCTTCTCCTTTCATATCTCTTTAACCAATTACCAAAAATAAGAATAATAGCAGCATGTTAGGAATGTGGATATGAAATTCAGGGATCTGCTTCCAATGGGGATGAGGAGATCCCTGCATGGTGGCAAAGCCAGATGATCAGAGACACATATGACATGATAGGAACCAGCACATGTCCAAGGCTGGCACATAACCAGCAGCATATGTTCCACTGATGTCAGTTTATTTATTACACTGAACCAAATGGTTACATTTGGTGCCAAGATGCCATCTATATCCAACTGAACTTTATATTTTCCTGGTTAAAAAGAGCAGGATATCAGAACAGAATCTTGAATGAGGAACTCAATGGTATTGTCTCTCCTGTTACCACCACCTTTGGCTTAAACGACTACATGGGCTTCCTAGCTGGTCTCTCCATTTACATTCTTCTCAAACTTCTTTCTCCATGGCACCCAGGATAAATAATTTTTAAACACTGGAATTGGTTCTTGTGCCTCTGCTATGTACAACCTCTCAATGATGACCAGTTGTATCGTAAATAAAATCCCAACCCCATCAGGTTACCAGCGTGGTTCTGCATCCATGGCCGGCATACTCTTTCCAGGCCACTACCCCACTCTCCCCGAAAGCACCAGGCACAGAGGTCTTTGTTTTCAGTTCTTCCTTGAGCCTTGTGTACCTCTGTGGCTCAGGTCTCTTCCTTTAAGAATAATGAAAAAGTCATGTAAATTTCAACCCCCTATTAAAACCTTACTGAATAAGAGTTATTGTTATTACTTGTGCTATGCCAAGAAAAAGCAAAGAAGCTATCGTTTTTTATTAATCATATGGTAAAAGTACATTTGCCTTCAAGCATTTTGAATTATTGAAGATAGCAGCAATACCTTTTCAATGAATTCTCCTCTTTGGCTCGATGTTTTGTGTTGTTTTGTTTGTATGATCAGATCTATGTGACAAAGAGCATTTAATGAGCTCTGGCCTGGTGATCTCTTCCTGCCCTAGTTTGCCTGCCTGACCTCTGCTCCCACGTGGGCCTCTGTCTCTGATTTTTGCAAAACTCCCTAGGCAGTGAGCTTCCTGGACATCAGAACTCATATCACATCTCCCTTGGCCACTACAACTTTACCAGCATCAATAAGTATTTATGAAACCTCAGCTCCAAACTACAGGTGACCTATTAAGTACTTGAGATAAGATCTGCCCTCAAAGAATTTTTTAGTTTAAATGTGTTGATCGGGGAGGAGATAAACACATAAGAAACAAGAGAAAAACTGTCCCTAGAAAATATTTACTTGATACTTACTACATGCAAAGCCCTGGAATAACTCAAGGTCAAAATCTTAACTGGGAGATACAAAACGTCACAGAAGCACGAGTCTTGGTGTCAGAAGATCTGTGCTTGTGTTTTCATGCTGACGGGATGTGAGGATTTAGACAATCCTCTTCACAGTCTGAATCTGTTTCCTCATCTAAAATGTCACTAGCACCTGCTTTCAAAAGCCTCATGTGGGTTGTTAGGATTAAATGTATGTGAAAGAGTTCTACAAACTCCAAACAACTTGATGTGATCATGGCAACGAGAATGAGAATTCTGGAATGTTTGCTATGGGGCAAAAATACCCTAAACATTTTAAATACATTATTTCAATGAATCTTCACTAATAGATCTATTAATTGCATCTATCATAACCTCCACTTTATGGATGAGGATCAGAAAGAGGACAAATATTTCCCTATGTCACACAGCTGGTTCAATAATGGGATGAATTTGAATTTAGATCTATCTGGCGTCATAGTGAGCAATTTTACCTATCATGTTACATGACCAAACACCTTTATATTCAGGAAGCACTTTTATTAAGAGCTCACTGACCCTGGGTTATAGACCCTAGGTACAGCATGGCTCTAGAACTTACTGTATGTGGGATATGTGGTAAGTCCCAGCCTCTGTGTGTCTTACCTGCCAGATGAAGGACTTCAATTCTAAGTTCTCTCACGTTCTTTCTTTAAGTTCATCCGACAGTCTATGGCTATGATTCTTGTTGTAACAGAAATTGTTCCTTGGGTAATCGATGGTCAAAGTCACCTTGGCTACATAACAGGGAAAGGAATACATAGAGACAGTTCAGAGATTTGATGGGGGTTCAAGAAAAAGATGTTCAAGGGCTGTGGCAGTTGGAGAAGGTTTTGGAGAGAATAGACCTGAACAATCTCACCATGAAAGTCATCCTTTATTATTTTTTTCCATAGTCCCCATATTTACAAAGATTTTATATTTACTTGATCTAACATGGCTACATGGCCTAGCAAAAGACAGCAACTGCAATTCCTTCAAGAGAAAAGAAGACACCTGTCAGCCCCAGTGAGAGTCAGGCAGATAGACAAAACTGGCTGCTGCCTGCTTACCACAGACCAGCACAGTCAGGGACATCGTTTTGACCTCGACTATGAATCAGCTAAAGTTTTAGCCAAAAGTCCACGGGCTGCTCAGAGTTGAGACTTCTGTCCTCAGTGGGAGAGTCACCCTCGACAGTCCTTGTCCCCACATTCTTGCCATCATGGGAATGACCACAAGCCAAAAGACAAAATGACAAGAAATGCAATTAAAATATTGGTTAGAAAAAATAAAGTAAAATAAAATATAGGTTAGTTTTTATTGGGCAGCAAGAATGAGTCTTACAATGAGCCAAGCCCAGATGTGGTTTTATAGACAGAAATGGACTTGGGAAAGCAGAAACAGAGACAAGTGCAGATTGCTTGTTACAACTTGGCTTTCTCATAAAGGTTAAAGCAGAGCTCTCCTTGTAAGCCTGGGTAGAGCTGGCTCATCTGAGGATTTGGCTTCTTACCTCTCATTCTCCGAATTTCTCAGAAGGTCAGGTAACAATTCCAGGTTTGGTCTTGGTGACATGGAACTTCATGCATGCATGACTCCGTTTTGGTTTGGTCTCTTGGGCCAGGTGTAAAAGCTGAGTCTCAACCCAAGGCCTCCTATACATTTTATTTAACACCTAGAAGGCAGTGATTCTCAACTGGTGTAGGAGGGGGTTGTCCCCCAGTGAACGATTGGAAACATCTGGCGACAGATTGAATGTCACAGCTTGCCTGTGAGGGAGGAAGAAGATTGTCACTGATGTCCAGTGAGGGAGCAGGAACTCAGTAAAAATCCTATCTGCTCAGGACAGCTTCTCCATGCTCCATCCCCAGCAGCTGCTAAGTGAAGAGGCCAGGCTAAGAAATCAAGGGTTGAATGTTTTTTCTCTTATGCAGAAGCTAGACCTAAATAAGAGGGTAAAAATATGTGTGCATGGGTTGGGGGAGGTCCCTTGAAAATAGAAGAGAGATCAATGGGAGAGAGGAAGGGGATTAAGGGGAGGGAGAGAGACAGGAAAAAGGAGGAATGGTGAGATTAAACTGACCAAATTCTTCTAGGTACATATATGAAGATATCACAGTGAATTTCCCTTTCATGTGTATCTATAAAGCACTAATTGGAAAAAAAATATATGAATCAATACACGAAAGACCAATAGAGTAGAGGAAGGAGAATGGGGGAGGGTGGAGGGGAAGGAAAGGTAAGCACTGGGAACTGAAGTGAAGCAAATTACATTCCATGCCTACATGATTAGGTCAAAATAAACCCTAACATTATGTTCTTACTATAATGCACTAATAAAAACATTACAGAGAAAGATCGTTTTCGAAAGGTCAACAGTACTGAGGTTGAGAAACCCTGATAGAAGGGAACAGCACTTATGACAAAGAGAAAAAGACAGCCAACTCACTCAGGACAGCTACAACAGAACCCGGGCATCTCTTCTTTCCTCCCTGCTCCAAACCAGAGGAGGCACAAGGCAGGAGTCCCTGGGCCAACTCTTGCAAGCTTTTGGGGTTGTATAGGGAAAGCTTGAAACTGAATAGAAGGTTGATGTTTTTAAAATAACCTTTTTATTTTTAAATAATTTCAGTTGTATACAGTATATGTGCCTTTAAGATTTTTTTTTCTATTTTTCACTCAGCATAATGCACTTAAGTGTTATACAAATTGCTACTTGTATGAATAATTCATTCCTTCTAACTGATGAATAGTATTCCATTTTGTAAATATATAAATGTTCCACCATGTATTTAACCATTTCCTTGTTGAAGGATGCCTGTTATTGTTTTTGTTTTTGTTTTGTTTTTCTAATTCTTGGCACTTATAAATAAAGTTGCCATGAGCTTTTGTGTACAAGTTTTTATGTGAATATAAGTTTTTTAAAATATTTTTTTAGTTGTAGTTGGACACAATACCTCTATTTCATTTATTATATTTATGTGGTGCTGAGGATCGAACCCAGGGCCCCTCACGTGCGAGGCAAGTGTTCTACCTGTTAGCCACAACCCCAGACACATAAGTTTTAATTTCTCTCAGACAAATACCCAGGTGTGCAATTGCCAGGTCATTCATATGTTAAGGGTATAATTACCTTAATAAGAAAATGCCCAGCTATTTTTCCAATGGATCTGTACCCTCTTCCATTCCCATCAATAATGCATGGAGAGATCCATTTATGAGGCTGGTGCTTTAAAATGGAAATTAATGTCTCTAAATAATCAAATGAGGCTTTTTTAAAGCAAGTAACCAATAAGTTATTTTAAAATAATTTTTAGATATTATTGGACTTTTATTTTATTGACTTATTTATATGTGGTGCTGAGAATTGAACCCAGTGCCCCACACATGCTAGGCAAGTGCTCTACCACTGAGCCACAACTCCAGCCCCCAAATGAGGCTATTTTAATAACTAAAATGATTTCCTAGCTATGACACCTGACTATTGACTGCAATTGTATCAATGGATCCCTCTGCCAACCAGGAAAAGAAGATTCTAAAGGTCATAAAAAAGTAACAGTTATTAAAAAAAATAAAACCAAGTATTGCTATACCTCAACAAGAAGAGATTCCTCAATCAAACATATTACATAATTAAAATATCACTTTGTTTGAAAGGCAAATTTCTCTTTCTAGTTTTTATTTCTTAAGGACATAGGTCACTATGATTGAAGCTTCTGATCACTGCACAATAACTCAAGGCATCACCCCAAGATGTGCTAATTACAGCGAAGTGCAAAGACCCTGACATACTTAAGACCTGCTAACAGCCTCTTAGGTATCCTTTTAGAATTATTATGCACTTTTTGAATCATCTTTCTTAATGCTCAATTAGAAATCTTACTCAGGAGGACTGAAGATGTAGCTCAGTAGTAGAACCCTTGCCTAGAATATCTAGAGTCCCAAGTTCAAACCCCACCACTGGAAAAAAGAAAGAAAGAAATGTTGTGCAGCAGATATATATCTCCCTATAAAACAAACATATGGTCCCTCTTTACTTAAGATCTTCCCTGGTTCAGGCAATTTAAACAGAATCAGCAGAAATAAATACACTAGTATCTGATAAACACCTACTAAAAGCTCAGCTTCGGGGAAGGGGTGTGGTAAATTCTAGAAAATAACCTAGTAACAGATTATGACAATATGAATTAAGAGCCTTAGAAAGGTGCACTCTTTTGACTTTATAATCATTACAATTTTAATAAGAAGAAAGAAAATGTAAATACCAAAAATAATTTACAATAGGTGTCAATAACTTCAAAAACAAACTATCTGACTTTATAATCATTACAATTTTAATAATAATAAGAAAATGTAAACACCAAAAATAATTTACAATAAATGTCAATAACTTCAAAAATGAACTATCTGACCTAACACTTCCTATTCAAGCATTTGTTCTAAGAAGTAATGCAAATAAATATTTATCTAAAATAATTGTATTATTGCATTATTAATAATGGAAACAATTTGAGCATCACCTAGCTAATAAGGGGAGTATTTCTTTCTTTCCTTTTTTTTTTCTTGGTACTAGGGAGTGAACCCAGGGATGCTTAACTACTGAGCCACATCCCTAGCACTTCTTTATTTTTTATTTAAAGACAAGGTCTTGCTGAATTGCTTAGGAGCTTGCTAAGTTGCTGAAGCTGACTTTGAACTTGTGATCCTCCTGCCTCAGCCTCCTGAGGATTATACCAGGCTAATTGAGGTCTTTCTAAATAAAAGATAATACATCCTTCATGTGGAAAATTATGTAGTCCTTTAACATTTTGTTTTTTTTCAAAGAATATTTTACCTAGATTGTGGAGAGTAGTGATTTGAATCAATCATGGCCTCTGATTCTCTCAAGCTTACATTTGCGCTGGGAGCTGCCTGTGTGAAGGTACATAGCCAAATGCTCCAGTTGCTATGGTGACATTAGCCTGAAAAGACTCCTTATCAAAGTGCAGACCTGTTATCAGTGAAGGCCTTGAGTTCAGCACCTTCTCCCCGGGATAGTGAATTCTGAACAGAATAAGATGAACACTGTCTTGCCGGTCCTTTGTCCTTCAGATTGCCTGCTTTGCCGAAAAATTCCCACAAATAACCTTTAGATGATGAAACCTATATAATAAACATGCTGAGCTAGCTTG